TTTGTATTGTGTGATATTTTACTTGCAATATTCTATTAAAATCGCAGCAGGTGTCTAAGGATCACTTAATAACTGTGTAGGGATCACAGTCCAAAAATACAAAAAAAAAATTTACAATACAGCAAAGGAGAAAGACTTCTGAAATTCACATGGCTGCATTTATCCTCACATGTTTTTATATATGGCAATGAAATGATGGCTCTCACCTAACCTTAATAACTTTTTTTCGGGGCCAGCAAGTGGTGCAGGGGTTAAGGGCACTGGACTCCCACATGGCTGACGGTGGTTTGAGTCCCAGACCAGGTGGCTTGCTTTCTCACTTTCCCTCTCTCTCTCTGTCTCTTTTTCTCTCTCGCTTGCTCACTTGCTTTGTCTCTCACTGATCAAATTAAAATAAATTAATAAAGTTAAAATAAAATAATTTTTAAAAAAATAATTTTTTCTCCTGGCTATAAACTTCCAAAGTCCTCCTCCATGTCCTCTTCTTGCACCTCTAAATAATATGTGAAGGGTATTAAGAGAGAAGGAAAAAAACACCAGAAAGTGCCCTTAAACACAGAAAGCAAATGTTCAAAGTGAGTCTGTTTCAAAGGCCTCAGTTTGTCCGTGGAGACCTAACCAGTATACTTGTATATGCTTGGAGACAAGCAGTACTTAACCTTTGGAGGTACTTGCTACTTTAAAAATGCATTACCCAAACTCAAACTATACTTTTAAATCTCACTTCTTAGTTAGCAGAGTAGTGGTTGAAAAAATATTTAGGAGAAATAACTTGTTTTTGGAAGTGTTTCTCGGGTAATTGTGAAGAGAGGATGGAAACTGACTGTGGGTGGCAGACAAGACGGGTAACAAATCCAGACTGCACAGGGTTCTATAACCACGACCTCAAAGGCATAACTAATGCCGAAGTAGAATGGTTTCCCTGAACTCTCTCCAAGGCTACAATCCCATCCTTGATTTATTTCTACATAACCTAAATAATTTACGACCTTTTGGAGACAGACCACTTTGGAAATAGACCTCGACTACTGAGCCACCCACCCCATGTGTACCATAGCAAACAGACATGGGCAGAATTTGGTCAGAGTGAAGCTCTCTGAACCTCTTCTGGAGTAGAGTGCTGTCTGACTCATAAATCACTCTTTTGCTCAAGTAAATGCTGCTAAATTTATTTTGTCTAAAGTCATGAGTTAAGCCAAGCAAGGCCTATCCCCCTTCTTTGATTCTGCTGATTTGGAAGAGAGCAAAATAGACAGAGATGTCCAGGCTCTGGCACAAAGATACGTTGTAAATCTAAATTTCCCAGCAATGTGTTAAAACAAAATGACAAGTATTTAGATTGTCAATAAAGAAAAATCCCTTCTTCCTCCTATGCAGGTAGAAGGTCAGCCTTGCAATTACAAAATCAAAGTACATTCTGCCTGTATGCACAAGGCAATCTCAAGCTCTTCCCTGGTGGCATTTGTGACAGCATTTTCTAAACCTTTTATAAGTATGGAGATGAAGTCCTCTATAATCTACACATTATAAAATGACTTAACTCTGGGCTAACGGTTGTGGCCTAAACCAATAATGTCTCTATATTTAGAATAATATCTAAGCTTCCAAGTTACAACGAATTGGTCCAAGAATGACTATGTAAGAACTGGCTGGTTGTCCATTTGGTCATACTGGAAAAGTTTTTGGGGGCAAAACAATTTATCTTGATTAATACTAATAGATAATTATAACAAAATGTAATTTTGGGGTCTAAACAACAGAAGAACACTACAGTTTTAAAACAGGAAGTGTTCTTCTTTCCCATTATAGATGATGACAAATGAAAAAGCTGAGAAACCAGATACTAAGGAGAAGAAACTCGAAGTCAAAAAGGGTGACCACAAGGCTAAAATCCAAGAGGGGGAAGCCCCACTGCAGCCAAGAATGGGATGGGCAGATAGTCCCAATCTGCCATGTATTCCAGGAAGGCCATGTACAAGAGGAAACACTCGGTCACTAAATCTGGAATTGAAAAGAAAGTAAAAAGGAGAAGGTTCTTGCCACTGTCACAAAACAAGTTGGTGGGGACAAAAATGGCGGTACCTGGGTGATTAAACTGCACAAAATGCCTAGGTATTATCCTACTGAAGATGTGCCTTGAAAGCTGTTGAGCCATGGCAAATAACCCTTCAGTCAGCATGTGAGAAAGCTGCGAGCTAGTATAACTCCTGGGACCATTTTGATCATCCTCACTGGGCACCACACTGGCAAGTGTGTGGTTTTTCTGAAGCAGCTGAGCAGTGGCTTGCTACTTGTGACTAGACCTCTGGTCCTCAATCAAGTTGCACTGCATAGAACACACCAGAAATGTGTCATTGCCACCTCCACCAAAACTGTTATCAGCAAAGTAAAAATCCCAAAACACCTCATCAATGCTTACTTCATGAAAAAGAAGCTTCCCAGACACCAGGAAGGTGAGATCCTCGATGCAGAGAAGAAGGATGAGATTACCTGGCAGCGCAGGGTTGATCAGAAATGTGGACTCGCAAATATTTTTTTTTACCAAAAATCAAAACAGTTCCTCAGCTCCAGGGCTACCTGTGATCTGAGTTTGCCCTTGCAAATGGAGTTTATCCTCACAAATTGGTGTTTTAAATTTTTCCCCAAGAACCTAATTAAATAACTGACATATATTTTAAAAAGATAAAAATAAATAAAACAGAAAGTGTTTACTATTTGCCTAAATGGCTAATTTAATAGATAATTTATCTGGGACTATCTAATAAAGGGTGAGGATGACAAAAGAACTGCAGGATACCAGATAGACTTTGAAACTAACAAAAGGAAAAGTAGCTTTTCAAATGGAAATTTATTTCCTAATAATTTAGCCAAAAGAAACATGATAAAATTTTAATTCAAGTTTTCTTTTATTCTTAAAGAAATGTTTGTCTTGCATGGGTATAAAATTTCACTACAAATTTCTTGGTTTGAAATAACCTTAATTGTATTTTCATGGGGATTGGTGGTGAACAAGAATCATAGAAAGTTGAAAAATAAACCTTTTGCGCAGAATGTAATAACAGGTTCCAGCTGTAACATCCTCCCTACCTAGAGAATATTTCAGAAACCCCAGAAAATAAATAGAAAGAGGAGCTAAAGTTTGAAAACCATCTGTTTAATATTGATAATAGAGAAAATAAAATAATCACTTTATGCCTTCTAAATTTCCAAGTACATTTCAGAACCTGGCTCTATGACTTCTGCAAGTAGGAAATGACAGTTTCTACGGAATGAAGATGGACATGGATATCTACTGAGCTTTAACATGTGCAAAGCAGCCAAAAGGAGGCAAATCTAATACTCTTTTTTTACGTAGAGGTTTTTGCCTTAGGACATGAGTTCTTGCCAGGGGGAGAGAGAGAGACAGTGAGAGAGAAAGTGAGACATCACTTCCCAGGGGGCTGGCCATGCTGCAATCTGGAATCTCCTCCATTCTCCTCCTGGGATCTTGGCCATACACGCACATGTACTCTGTGTGAGTTTTAAGCCACCAGGTTCGGAACTCAAACAGCTGGCCATGTGGGAGTCCTGTCATGTCACTGTTACATCATCTGCTGGCCCCTTGTTTTGGTTTTAGTTTTTTTTTTTAATTTAAATTTTTTAAGAAGCAAAAAAAAAAATTACTTAATAAAATTTATTTAGACTTTATATAGATCAAAATAATACTTTAGATTATAATAGTTTCAGGATCAATAGCTGATTGGAAGGAAGAAAGGAAGCGGTTTCTATTTTCAGTGTAGAATAAAAATCATCTAATTCTTACTGATGTTTTGTAAATTTTCCAAACAAGACTTAGGCCAAGTTTATTGTTTAGCGATTTTTCCCTCCTTTAATGGATGAAAAGTGAGATTCAATGTGTGTACTACTGGTTACAATGAATACAATAGCTTGAAAAAAATCATAAGACAGAAGCTTAAATAAAATATATAAAAAGATAAGACTTGAAAATCGTATTATAGCAATATTAACTATAATAAGTGAAAAAGATACAGTAAAACTAGCAGTGTTACACTAGTTCAAAATACAGCTCGTAAGGCAAACTGAAACTGATGCTCATTAAGGAAAGCGGTCTATTTCTAGGAAGATACTAGGAAAACACCAATCGTTTTGAACAAACAGTATTTTCACACGACTCTTCCATAGTGAAACAGGTCAGTGTGCACGGTACACAATGGAGTAAAACACGATTATGAAAGGAGAAATTCAGAGACTCAAAGAAAACATCCGAAAGTGAGAAGACTTGATTTTACTATTATTTCCACAGAATTGATGCAAATAAAACAGTTGTCTCTTCCTTTTGTCTACAAACCTGAATGACTGGTAAATCTGGGCCATCACTGTCCTCCTTTCATGGTGCACTCACATGAAGAAAGATTTCCTTTTCCTTACTCGTTTGATTTCCCTGCCACACCCACCATATTTGCCAATAAAACAATTAGGATTTACCAATTCCTATAGGGAAAGTACCCTAAGCAACTGAGGTCTATTGTTAAATGACTCTATTTTTAAAGTCTCCTTTTCCAGGAACATTTAATTTTGAATTTCTTGTAATGATTTACACTTATATTTTTTTAAAAGAGAGATGTTTGCTATCAGGCACGTGTGTTTGACTGAGACACACAGAGAGAGGGAGAGAGTGTGAAATCACCCCCCCCCCAGTGGGAAGGCCACTCTGCAATCCTTTTCCTCTCAGGATTTTTGGGTACTCTTACACACACTCCCCGCATGAGTTTCAAGCTGCCAGGTCAGGCACTTGAACCACAGTTGGTCATACGGGAGTCCAATACCATTACCACTAGGTCACCTACTGGCCCCTCCACTTACACTCTTAGACCTTCGTTAAAATTAACATTTCCAATATTCCAGTAGGAACTCTTTGCTACATCATTATTCCACATTTCAAGACAGAACTCACAGTTTAAAAGCACAGGAAAATGAAAATCTAATGTTGTAGAAATTACCTCATCTGAGGCTTTCTTCTCTCCCGGCTTGGAAGGTGATCCACTGGTTTTCTCATTGACATGCTATACAAATGTAGGGGGGGAAAAAGTCAATGTTTAGTAAAATATACTGACACAAGATAATATTGACATTAATCCCCAAAACATAAATGCACAAATTCCAAAAGCAGGGGCACCTTTAATCTTCCACTTGAGAATGTTGATAATTTCATACCATTGTAGGTGGCTTTCAAAATCAGGAGATGCCACAAACATTCATTTGAGATCCAGAAAGTCAGTCTGTAATTAACCAGATGCAGAGCGGATGGTGATGCCAAGGCGGCATCTGGTCTCCTACAAAATGCCTCATGGAATTACAAAGCCCAAATTGCCAGCAAGGAGACATGTGGCTCATCACAGAGATGAAATCTATGAGGACTACGCAGTGTCTGACAGCGTACTTGCGTCTCAGTTCAGTGTGGACTCGAGTCCTCCACCACCTTCCCAGTCACCCATCCCTTCTGATGGCTCATGAGGATTCCCGAGAGTTCTCCCATGTTAGGACTCTCCATGTTAGGACTCACTGATGCAGAAAGAGAAAACCCGAAGGGGAAAGAACTGCATACCTCCTATTGACGGCTTTGGGATTTCATTATCCCATCTAGAAACAGGATTTTTTTTCTTAATGGTACCTTGGGGATAAATGCAAGCATTTTGATATGCTGTGTAAAAGCTTCGAGTTGCTTACATGCTCATTAGTTTCGGTAGTAAGATAAAATAAGCCATAAGTTTACTAGGCTTTTTTATTATTTTGAGAATTAAAGAAATGTATGCTATTGAAGGGTACAAAGAATTACTTCATCTCTTGCACACTCTGGGACATGCAAGAAAGTGGAAAGAGAGCCAGATATTTAAAAAAAAAAAAAAAGAAAAAAAAAAGGCTTAGGACCAGCAGTTGGCATAATGGTTATGTTGCTGGATTCCCATGCAGTCCACCGCAGTTCAAGTCTCAAAACGGTGGCTTAAACTCGCGCCGTGTAAGTGCGTGCCCAAGATCCCAAGAGGAGAATGGAGGAGAAGGGATTGCAGCGTGGCCATCCCTCCTGGGGGCTGATTTCTCGCTTTCTGTCTCTCTCTCTCTGTCTTTCTGATAAGCGCACGCGCCCTATAGCAAAAACCTCTAAAAAACAAAAATCAAAACAAAACAAAACAAAAAACAAAGGCTCGCCCTTGGATTCAATCCCAATCACCCTCAGCTAGTCCAAAATATAAAACACAATTATATTCCCTAAAGCAGAGTCACAACTTGGATATGTAAGTCAGTGAAATTATTTGGGTTAAGAAGAGTGATAATAATAGTAAGAGTCACAGTCATAACTTATATCGTTTTTTGTAATTTTCAAAGTCATTCTTATTTGATTAAAAAAATCCAATTTGGAAAAAATAGGCTAAGTGGTTTTATGGGGAGAAAAATAGTACAATAGTTATTTGGTGTTTTTCACAAAGACACATAACTAATAAATGGAAAAGATCACAAAGCAGGATTTCTGACTTAAAATCTGTTGTTTGCCACTCTGTACCATGCTGAATGAAATTAGATAATACTTTTTTATCAGTAGATATTATACTAAGAAAAATGGTAAATAGATACCAGAATACAGATTAAAATATTTCCTTACTAGTTCTCTGTGTAAACAACTAGCAATAAATCACGTTCATGAATGTAAAATTCTTCCCCACAAGAAATACTCTCATGGATTAGTAATTGCAATCCACCAAAAAAACAGCCAAGTCGCAATAGCCTGGTGGCTGAAATCCCCCACAAGGCTTGTTTTACCAACATGACCTCGTCAGGGGTCTGTTTGTCCATAGTTGAAGGCAATCATTTGAGTAATTATGCAATCTTAAAAAAAGGAATCATTTTAAATCCTACATATATCTGAAAAAAATATGGTACCTGATAAATTATACAATAACTGTTAAGAAAATGACTTGTAAAGGCCAGGCTGGGGAAAAAAGAGAGAATATTACTTGGCTCTGTTAAAGCAAATAGGGGACCATATGAAGTTGTTTCTATCATGTTTTTAGAGCCCTGTTTTATTTTCTTCAACAAAAATGAAAACAGGATTTAAAATACCAATTAAAGTTATTTTTTCAAGTGAAAGGTTTGAAAACATACTAGCTAAAATTAGTAACTGAAGAAACAGTGACACAAATAAATCACTTAGAATTATGGAAGCAAACACCAAAAGAAACAGAAAACAGGGTGATTAAGAATGAGATGATAGACTTTTTACTTTGAGACAGAACTAGTTAAGAGCGTCTCTAAATGTTTGACTTACAGGTAGCATGCCCTAAGGAGGTAAAGGAAGTTATCTTTAAACCTGAAGCCTTAGCAAGCAACTGAAACTTAACTTGGAGGTATTTCTTGTAATGACTTAAATCTCATCCCCTCAAAAAACAAACAAATCAAAATGAGCCTCAGTCAGCCAGCTGATTGGCTAGCTTTAGGAACTGCCCATCATAAACAGCCAGCTGATGATTGGCTAGCTCTAGGAACCTCCCACAGATCATAGCTACATAAAGCAAACTCCTAGCGGTGGCCCTTCAAGTACTTCCTTTCCTTCCGCATTCAGCCTATAAAGGCTCCTTACTCATGCTGCTGGCGCTGGGTTCTCTGAACACCTTCCAGTTTTCAGTGCTGCCCAATTCATGAATCATTCTTTGCTCAAATAAATGCTATACAAATGTATTTTATCTAAGTTTCTCTTTTAACATCTCTAAATGAATCATTCAACATTTGGAGATGGTATTAGATAAGGGCAGATCTGCAAATACAGATTGACCAAATCTGTTTCTTTCTAGAACTGGTCATTTTAGAACCTTAATATCACACTAATTTATTATCTACAATTCTGCACCTTTTTTTCCTATTAAATAAAGCAAGGATTAACAACAATATTTACTGTTTTACTGAGTGTTTACTGTTTCGAGTGCCTTATTGTCAAGAGGTGCTACTATTCTATTCTAAGATGAGAAAATTCACCCTCATTATGTGCAATGTTTCTATGCTAACCACATGGTTCCACTTTGCTTTCTGCTGATGAACCAATTATATAGCATGATTTATTACCTCACAGTAAATGTGTACACAGCCATTCCTTGCTTAAATATAGACACATAGATGGTTTCTTTAAAGTTTTTATAAAAAAATGTTTCCTGATGGATTTTAAAAGAGATCCCATTGCAATCCTCCAGATTAACCGGTATCATCAGTTACTTGTTTCCACTGAAACACTTAAAATCCAAACTATGTAGGTTCAAAACAATAGTTTGGAAGAAATATACATAATGAATGGTATATAAAATGCAGATAAAACAACTGAGGGTCTGAAAGGTGAAGTCCTCTTAGGTCATACCACTCAAGATTGTGGTCTACAGGCCAGAGACCAGGCTACGGTAGATCTAGTTAAAAACTAGCTGGGATCTTATGATTCTCCTCAAGAAAGTCCTCAGAGCAATTCAGTGCTCTAAAATGGAAATACTGGGGCCAGAGGTGGCACAGCACAGTGGTGAGACCGCTCGTAAGAGAAAGTTCCAAGTTTGGGTCTGGTGTGCACACCCATGATCTGGGGCTAGCTGAGACTAGGGATCAATCATAGCATGAAGACCCTGCTGGGGGTACTGGCTCTCCTCTTTTGCTCATGGAAGGAAGGAAAAAAGATACTTAAAGGAAAAGAACAAAACAAACCTCTACAATAGCCACAAGAAAAACAAAACAAAACAAACAAAACCTTTGTATTCTAAAACTGATTTGTCTTATAAAATTAATCAAACACACAATATTTATGAATGCTATTCTACCTTAGCAGCCGGAAAGAGAACCAAGACAGGAAGAATAGGTCAGGATGTCTGCCCCTAAGCAGTCAAGGATTCAATTGGGAGGATAAGGTCACAGAAGACAGGAAGCTAGCTGCATGGAGGTTAAGAATGAAAGATAGGAGGCCAACAGTGGTGTGGCGGTTAAGGTGGCGGGATCCCACAAGGCCCACAGTGTGGTTCGAGTTCCATCCTGGAAGCTTGAAAAGCCCCAAAATCCCAAGAGGGAAATGGAAGAAAGGGGAGTTCAGTGTGGTCATCCTCCCTGGGGGAAGGTGGGGAAGGGCTTTCTCTCCCCTCCCCCACCTCCCTGGCAATTGCACATGCCTAGTAGCAAAAAAATAAATAAATAAAAAAGATGAAGGTCAGAGGTTGTATGTACTACAGGAGTTTGGAGGTAGGGGGAATCAGATAAAGGGATTTCCTTTCTTCTCTCAAGAAGGCATAGTTTTCCAGACCGTTTTTAATCATGGCACCTTTACGTATTTGGCAAGTACAGTTGTACTTTGCCCTCATTCTAAGAGAAAGGGCTTACATCTTAAAATCTGCAATAGCAAACCCATAAATCTGCATGGAAATCAACAAGGACTATTGACAGAAGCAATAGAACTTGGGGCCTGAGCTCTCCCCCAGTGAACTGCTCCTAGTGCTGGGCTTTGGCTCTGCAGCACGGGGCACCTTCCTCGTTACCTAGACACACACACAGACAAGGGGGCATGTCACACAAAACAGGGTAAAACCAAACTAACTTCTGCACGTATTAACACAGAAAGAAGACAGAGAAGTAGATTCTGCAAGTCTAAGTCCAGCTATGAAAAGAGTGCCAAATTGGAGTGTGCCTCTGAAATGCCTCTGCTTTATTAAAGAAAAAAAAAGTATGAGGTTTCTCTCAGGGGACAGAAACATTCTACCATAAAATCGTGGTGATGATGGCACCACCACGTGCATATACTAAAGAATTTTGTATGCTTTAATGGGCGAAGTGAATAGTTTGTGAGCTGCATCTGAATAAAGTTGTTTAAAAAAAGAGTAAAGGTTATTTGAAAACTTGAAATTGCCTTCTTCAATGTGGAGGCAAGACCGTAAATATTTGCATGCCCAGGAACAGCTGTAGCAAAATCATGAAGCAATAAAAAGTTATCTCAATGCCCTCTGGACTTCCCTGGTGCACATACCTCAGCTCTCGCTCCGTCACATCATACACG